GGTAAAATTATGATGAATGATAACGGAGACGAAGACAACAGATGATGAGGACAGGGAGGATGCACGGATTTAAATGCACCAAAGTGACAGTCAGAGAGAACTCGGGACAACATTTAAGGATGCAGTGTTAAACCGCCAGATGCCGTCAACTGGAACGTAAATGTGGACTGTGAGTGGCGAACTTTTAAACAGCGGTTTATGCTATACCCGCAAGCTGTCGGCCTAGATAGTAAGCCTGATACACGGAAGATTGCACTGCTTCTTACCGTAGCAGGTCCACAAGTGGTGGAAGTATGTAACACGTTTTTGTTCGCAACTGCACAAGACAAAGAAATGTTTGACGAAGTAGGGAGAAAGTTTGATGAACACTGTTCGCCCAAAACGAATGAAACATTTGAGAGGTACGTCTTTCGGTCACGTATACAACAACCTTCAGAGAGTTTTGATACGTTTCTGACTGACTTCAAGTTAAAGGCAAGAACATGCAATTTTGGACAGCTGCAAGAATCTATGATAAGAGATCAGATCATATTTGGAATAAAAGATACAAAGATAAGAGAGAGGCTTCTGAGAGAGGCCGATCTGACTCTAGCAAGTGCTGTGAAAGTCTGTCATGCCAGCGAGCTCGCAATACAACATGCAAAAACCTTCAGCAGGTCGCACAAAACATGGAAGGAAACAATGCCCAGCTTATGGTAAAATATGCAAAAAATGCAATGGACAAAACCATTTTGCCAAGCAATGTTTTTCAAAGAATAAGAAAAAAGAAAGAGTACACACAGTAGAAGAAACTGCTCTCAGTGACATGTTTTTTGTGGGAATGGTAATGCAGCACGATACACCCATGGACCAACCTGCAGTCAGTACAGTGAAGCAGGACAAATGCACAGAGACGTTACTAGTGAATGGAGCCCTGGTAACTTTCAAACTGGACACAGGAGCCAAGGCTAATTTGGTGAATGAGCTGGATGTGAAAGCAGTGAAAACAAAACCACACATATTCCAAAATAACAGTTTACTCCAAGCATATAATGGAGAACCAATCAAAACCAAAGGTAAATGCAGGCTCAGGGTACAAGTAAAAGGAAAATATCACAGTCTGATGTTTATCATTGTGCCGGAGGGACATGAATCTCTGTTGGGAGATAAAGCATGTGAGAGACTTGGCCTAGTCAGACGGGTATACAGTAGGGGTGCAACGATACTCGTATCGATATTGAACCGTTCGATACAGTGCTTTCGGTTCAGTACGCATATGTATCGAACAATACAACATTTTTCATTTATTTTATCAACTTTCCTTCTGACGGTGCTGTGTTGAGCGCTCAGTGGATCTGCGCTCGACAGTGCAGCCTAGGCGGAGTAGTCGAAC